GGGGGGCCCCCCGCCCCCTTACCAGTGGAAGGGTGGGCAGGTTATGCCCCCCATGGCGGGACGCGGCCCTCCCGGTTCTGCGGAGGGGGGTCAAGAACGTAGAAGTAGTCGGGGCCAAGAGGTTGCTCGCCCGCCGGCGCGGGATTCGCGTCAAATCAGGCTTGTTGATCGGCCCGGAGGTACGCTTGCGCCGGACCACGACAACGACCACGACAACGACGCAGCGGACGGTGAGCAGATCACAACCAGATCTCACTACCTGCTAGGGGGGCGGCACCTGCGCCGACGAGACGACGATGTCGGTGGAGGAGCCGGAGCCCGTGTAGGTTGCGACGGCGGGCTTGCGCCCCTCGAAGGTCTCGGCGTTGACGAGCTCGGGCGCGCCGTTGGCGCCCTGTGCGAGATACAACCGAGATCCAGCCGAGATACAGCCGAGATCTAGCCGAGATACAGCCGAGATCTAGCCGAGATATCGACGTACAGCCGAGATCTAGCCGAGATCTAGCCGAGATCTAGCCGAGATACAGCGGAGATACAGCCGAGAGCTAGCCGAGGGTGTGCTCCGCATCGCACCTCGCGGTAGATAGCGCCGTGGTGTCCCGGGAAGGACGGGTCGGGCGCCTCGTACCCGGGCAAGCCCGCGTCGCCGACCTCGCGCGGCGCGATGTGCAGGTTGATGGAGGCGAGCGCGTCGTTGCCTATCTCGGCGCACCTCGGCGGATCTCGCCCGATCTCGGCTGGAGAGAGAGACGGGGAGCGTGTCGCTGCCCGGCCCGCCCGAGCCACCGTGGATCTTGGTCACGTTGTACTGCTTGAGCTCGATGGGCCGGCCGATGATGCGCAGGATGGCCTGGGAGGGCGCGTCGACGGGGGGTCGGGGTCAGGGGTGGGGGTGGGGGTGAGGGTGGGTCAGGGTTAGGGCCAGGGGGGTCAGGGTTGAGGTGAGGGGTAGGGTCAGGGTGAGGATCAGGGGTAGGGTCAGGGGGGTCAGGGTTAGGGCCAGGGCTAGGGCTCGGGCTAGGGTTCGCCTTGAAGGTTGCGTCGACGGGGCCGGCTCCGATGGCGGCGACGGCGTGCTCTGTGCCGGTGCTGACCTCGTGCAGCCGCACCGTCGCCGTCGAGGAGACCTTGCAGGGTTTGGGTTTGGGTTTGGGTTTGGGTGAGGGAGAGGGAGAGGGAGAGGGTGAGGGTGCGGGTGCGGGTGAGGGGTGAGGGTGAGGGGTGAGGGTGAGGTGAGGGGTGAGGAAGGGTGAGGGTGAGGGTTAGGGTGTCATTGATACATTTCGAGGGACCTTGTGGCCGTGGTTCTCCGAGTTGGACTGCACCGAACACGAGAGCAGCTCCCACGCCTTCTCCTGCACCGCCTGGGAAAGGGAAAGGAACGGTCGGTGGAGTGTCAAGGAGGTGTCTAGCAAGTGCCTTCTCCTTGCACCACCTGGTCCATCACTACTCCGAGCAGCGACTCGAGGTCGGCGTCAGAGACGACCTGCGGAGATGTCGCCGAGGTAGCGCCGAGGTAGCGCCGAGGTAGCGCCGAGGCACCGCCGAGGTAGCGCCGAGGTAGCGCCGAGGCACCGCCGAGGTAGCGCCGAGGTAGCGCCGAGGTAGCGCCGAGGTCGGCGTCAGAGTGCGCCTTCTTCGCGTCGGCGATCGCCTTCGCCTCCTCGACGAACTGCGACAGCTTGGCCTCGTCCTCGGCGACGTCGTTGTACCTGCGGGGGCGCGGCACCGACGTGTGTCCGACGTGTGTCCGACGTGTGTCCGACGTGTCACCGACGTGTCACGGACGTGTCACGGATGTGTCTTGGCCTCGGGTGAGACTCTCGTGTCACCCGACCAGCCGCGCGCGGACGCCGTACCGACGCACTCACTACTGACTTAATGAGGGCGTGATCTCACCCGAGCTCGATCAGCCGCGCGCGGAAGGCGGCCTTGCCCGAATGCTTGCCCAGCACCAGCATGTTTGAGCTGTCCGCCCCGACCTAGAAGGTTCCTAGAAGGTTCCTAGAAGGTTCCAGCACCAGCATGTTGGAGCTGTCCGCCCCGACCGACTCGGGCGTGATGATCTCGTACGTGGCCGCGTGCTTGAGCATGCCGTGCTGGTGGATGCCTAGACCCGTCCGCACTGCGATGAGACACGACTTCAGCTGGCCCACAAGAGCACGCCGTGCTCGTGGATGCCCGACTCGTGTGCAAACGCGTTCGCTCCGACGATGGCCTTGTTGGCCTGCGCGCGGCGGCGGGGAGCAGCAGCAGGGCGTGAGAGAGGGTGCGCCTGTCGCCTCCCGCCCCAGCGAGGTTTCGGCCGGCGGAGGGGCGGTGCTGGCTGGCTGGCCTGCACGGCGATGCCGGTGTACGTCGCAACCATCTTGGACGTGCGCATGATCTGCTTCGTCTCGATGTCGCAATGGACCGGGAAGAGGTGCGGCCGCGTGCGCAGCGCCATGACAACCTCCTCGAGGGATGTGTTGCCCGCGCGCTCGCCCAGCGAGTTGAGGGTCACCTCGACCTGCCTCGCGCCTGCTCACACCGGAGCGGTGAAGAGAGGCGTCGTGCCCCGCTCGGGCGCGCGGCGCCGCTGCTCGTCCGGCGCCTCGCGCGACTGCGGCGAGCGAGTTTGCAGTCGCGAGGCCGAGGTCGTTGTGGCAGTGGGTGGACCAGATGATGCGGTCTGCGCCCTTGACGTTTGCGATCAGGTGCGCGAAGAGCGACGAGTACCTATTCGCCAGTCACGAAGGAATGAACACCGCTAGTCATTCGCTTGCGACCAGTCGCGAGGAGCGAGTAACTCGTCCGGCAGCGTGTAGCCGACAGTGTCGGGCAAGTTGATGGTGGTGGCGCCCGCCTCGATGACGGCCTCGCACAGCTCGACGAGGAAGGCGGGGTCGGACCGCCCGGCGTCCTCGGGCGAGAACTCGATGTCGTCGACCATCGACTTTGCGAAAGCGACCATCGACGAGGAGATCTCGACGCACTTTGCGCGCGAGATGCCGAGCTTATGCTCGAGGTGGATGTCGGAGGAGGCGAGGAAGGTGTGTATCCGGTGGAGCGGCGCGTGCCGCACCGCCTCGTAGCACCGCTCCAGGTCCTTCTTGTTCGCGCGCGCGAGCCCGGCGATCCGCATCGGCTGCCCGCTTCGCCGGCCGTCGGTGAGCTGGCCCGACGTCTTGGCGACCTGCGTGACGGCCGCGAAGTCGCCCTCCGACGCGATCGGAAAGCCCGCCTCGCACACGTCCACGCCCAGCCGCGACAGCTGCTTCGCAATCTCGACCTTCTCCGACTCAGTCAGCGTCGCGCCGGGAGACTGCTCGCCGTCGCGCAGCGTCGTGTCGAAGATGACGAGCTTGTCGGTCGCGGGCTCCGCCGAGAAGGCGCGCGCCGACGCAGCTGGCCGCCTCAATCTGCAGCAGGCGGCCACGGACGGCCGGCGAGCGCTCCTGAGGGTCGCGCTGAGCATGGGACTTCGCGGCCTCTCCGCGACGAGAGAGCTGTGAGCTCGACCTCAATGCGGCGCGTTTTCTTTTTCTGTGAGGGCCGCTGCAAGGCCGGAGCGAAATTTATTTTAGCTAGCCTTCGATGTTATGAAACAACACGTGCCTTTTGGGGTACCCCGTTTCTGCCGCGTCCTGTGCCTTATTTTGTCAACAAAAACAAACGCGGACACCCGCATGGCATATCGCTCTCGGGCCTGACTGCTTACAACCACAGACATCGCGCGAAAAAATCTTTTTCCCGAGAAGGCCGAGGAAGGCCCTGCCGCCGCCGCAGGGGGGCAGCGCGGGCACTGCAGCCCGCCGCGCACCGCCGCAGTCGAGGGCAGCGCGGCCAACGCAGGCCTGGATGGCCCTGGTTGGTGTTGCTGGCCTGCGTCTCGACGGTCTGACTCGTGCGGAGCTGAACGGCCAACCCGTCGAGGTGGAGAGGTGGGATGAGGAGCGAGGGCGCTACGTTGTCCGGCTGCCCCAGTCGAGCATCAGCGTCAAGCCGCAGAATATTGTGATTCACGCCCTGCGGATGGACGATGTGCAGCTGGCGAGGCGGCATGGCGAACAGCTCGAAGCGCTGGGATGTTACGACAAGGCAGCCCAGGCCTATCGAACCACCCTTCCGTTTTGGAGCGGCGTGGGCGGCGACAACCTCTCCGTGGCTTGGGCCGACATAGGACTGGCATGTAAACGCGGGTGCCGGTGGCAATCGGCAAAGGAGGCGTATACCACCACGATTCGAGAAGCCGCCACGCAATCGCGTCGCGAGACTGTTCAGGCAATGCTTGCCAAGATGTTGCAGCAGTTTACCGCACTCGATGAACCGTCGCTGGCGGCGGACCAGCTCCTCGACGACCCGCAGCAGCTCTTCCAAACGACGCTCGGCGACTTGTTTGCTCAATATGCAGAGGAGTTTCGCAGCGAGCACATCGGCGAACACTTCTGCCAGGTCATGGGTTTTGACTACGTGAGTATCCAGTCGCGGAGGCAGCGCAATCGCGATTTCTTCCTCGCTGTCTCGCGACGGGTTCCAAACGTTGAAGCTGTCTGGGTCTTCTGCTTTTGCGACGGGACCATGCTCGCTTTGTCCCAGGAGCCAGGTGCTTGTGTCTAATCGTAGTGGGGGCCCTGGCCCCCCTCTGTTTTCTGTTTTCTGTTTTTCAAAACGCCCGCCCGCCCGCCACCCCGAGGTGGCTCGGCCCCCCACTGACCCAGAGATCAAAAAACGTCGGCCCTGCGCACGCACGACACACACACACACACACACACACACACACGGCCCCCTCACAAACACGAACGCGGAGCTCCCCACGTGACCCGTGTCCGCACGCCCTCCTCCCCTCCAAAAGCTTCGTAAGCAGCGGAGCGTCGTCGGTTTACGTTTCTGGGTCGCAGCTCCGGTGTTCGTGACTCCTGTGGCGCACTCGAGAGGCGTTTGGGGTTCGGCACCGGGGCAGTGGGCGAAGGCGCGCGGCCAGCAGTGCTCTTCGGCAGCGACCGAGATGGCAGCCAAGCATGAGGAACGGGGTGCGTCGGCTATTCCCCACGCGCAGTGCCAAGCACGCGGTGATGAGTGATTTTGACAGCTGCCAGTGCGTCCACTTTGAACCCTTGCGCCCTCCTCCCTCTCCTCAGTCGCCGGCGTCGCCACTGGCGGGTGCACTCACCTCCATTGGCACAGCTGACTGCACGAGGAGAGCCGAGATGGCAATGTTGTGGACAAGCGCCGCCGTCCTTTGCTGGGCCACTCGCATCTCTGCACCTCTCAATCCCGGCTGCAAAAGGAATGCAGCGCCGGTGTTGCAAGCCCGCTGCGCTGTGGCCAGCCGTGGCGGTGGGCTGGGTTCAAACTCCTGGTACAGACGACCAATGTCCGTCGACCAATCTTTGAGCTGAGACGACAGCGTCCGCGACGACATTCCGCCCGGACGAGTGAAACGGTCGATGATCGTATTCACGACGAGTTTCGAATAACACAAGGTAAACGTGTTTAAAAAAAGAAATAAAACAGACGACCTAAGGGAGGGATGGGAGGACGGCACGCCGCCACCACACAGGGATTTTAAGGAGAGGAGTGTGGTGCTAGCCGTCGCCCACCCTTGGGCGTCGTCTCTTATTTATCTCTCTTTGCAGTGCCCCACCTATTCTCCACCTTTATTGCTACCTCGCGGTCGTCCCACTCTCGTATTTCTCTCGCTAAAGAAAACTAAGGACGTTTCTTTAAAAGCACGTCTTGTCCTTTCGCCTGCGGAAACGTTCAGCTCTCCCTGGCGTGGCATATCTCGTCAACCTGCATGATGGGGGGAACCTCGCTGCATCTCGCATCTCTCTCGTCGGTATGTCCGCAGCGCGCTTCGCTCGACTGCTGGTCGTTCCAGACGGCCCAGGTCGCAGCGACAACAGGCTCACGTGCGGCGGCAGCGGTGGTGGCGCCCTCGACGGCGGCCAGACCTGCGGCAACGATGGCCCTCCGGCTCCTTGCCGTGAGGACTTCGCTCACCTCGGAGACGGTCAAGAGCGAGCATACCGGCAAGCCCGCAACAAGTGGGCTGCAGCGGGCAAGAAGCGCAAGCGACACGAAAGCAAGCATGCTGAGCGAGATGCAAAAGTACATCACGATGCTGCTCGAGCGCAGATCATGCGGCTAAGTTGCGGGGAAACGCAGGACGCCGCGGAGTCCCTCGCAGCTTACTTGGTGGAGGAAGCGGCGATACCAGCTACGGCTCGTCGGACTGGTGCGTAGCAGCGACACTGGTCTGCCTGCCCAGCACGCGTCACCCCCTCTCTGCTCGCAGGCTATCCGAGTTCATCCTCCTGATGAGCATGGAGGCAACATACTCCGCTGTCGAGAAGGCTGCTGCAGCTAGCCTCGCGCTGAGTGAGCCGGCAACGCGATTCATGATCGAGAAAACACGGTCACTGGCGGTGCAATGGCGAGATAGGGCAGCGTCGACCTTCCAGCAGGAGCAGGATTCGCAAGTGTGCGCCTTGCTGTCGTCTGTGGCATACTGCGACGATGTTCAGCCGCCGCCGATGCTATCTCCGAAGCTCGCCACCCTTGCGTCAGTGCTTGCCGCCCCCAAAACAGTCGACATCGAGGCCAGTGACGCAGAGCTGCGGGAGTACGAGGCGCGCCTGGACCGGCTGAGAGAGAAGCGTCGCGCGTCAGAGCAGCGCACGGCAGAGAGGAAGGCGGGCATGCTGCCAGCCAGGGAGCCAGAGGCGGAGGCTGCGAGTCTCGAGTGCTATCTTCGCGAGCGAGAGGAGCGAGAGAAGCTTCGGGCGCTGTGCAGAGCAATCCAGGAGGGCGACGAGGCTACGGCGCGGGCGTGGCTGGACGGCGGCGGGCAGATCAACGCGATGTACGAGTACGAGCGGGACTCAAAGGGCCAGCCCATCTACAAGACACTGCTGGGGCTTGCAGCCAGAGGGAGCGGAAGCTGGTATGGCAGGGCCAAGCAAGAGGCGGTGCTGGTCCAGATGCTGCTGCAGCGCGGCGCTGAGATCAACCAGCAAGATGGGGGGGGCGAGACGGCGCTGATGCTCGCCGCTGAAGGCGGCAACGTGCTAGTGGTGGACATCCTGCTGCGGCACGGCGCGGAAGTCAACTTGCGAGACAACCAAGGCTGGGCTGCGCTCGTGTGCGCCTCCTTCTACTGCATGCCTGACCCTGCTCGACACGCTACTCTGCTCCGGCTGCTGCAGGCAGGCGCAATTATGCCGACTGCAGTCTGGTACAAAAGCGCCGTCTGCAGTCTTAACGACCGGTACAACTACCTGCGAGAGGTGGAATCGGCATATCGCATGTCAACTGCGCCGAACGCCTCCTCAACGGACACTTCAACGGATACCTCCTCCTCGTTCGTCGTCCTTCCGCAAGCAAGCAACTCCCCGGCGAACCGCTAGACGACTACATCGCTGCCTTCCGCGCAGCGCAATCGTGATCGGGTATGCGCGCCGCGCTGCGGCGCGTGCTTTGTTTTCTTTCAATTAGGTCGGACGGTTGCGCACCAAAAGAAATCGAAAACCGGCCCGCGCTCCATGGTGCACACGGGCGAGCCAGCGCCGCTGCTCGGCCAGCGAGTCGTGCTCGGCGGGCTCTCCTCCCGCCCCGAGCTGAACGGGCGGCGGGGCGTGGCGGGGAGCTTCGAGGGCGGGCGGTACGCGGTGGCGCTCGAGGGCGGCGGCGAGAGCGTGCGGGTGCATCCCGGTAATCTGTCGCCGGCGGCGGCGGAGCGGGCGTCGAGCGGTGTCGTGGCAGCCCCCGATGCGGTCGTGGCAGCGGCTGAGCGAGGCGAGGAGGAGGCGGTGCTGGCGTGGCTCGAGGGCGGCGGGCGGGTCAACGCGACGTACAAGAGAGGCGGCGTGAGCGGCCTCACGCTGCTGATGGGCGCCGCCCGCTACGGCCACGAGCGGGTGGTCGAGCTGCTGCTCCGGCGTGGGGTGAAGGTCAACTTGCAGGACAGCGACGGCAACGTCGCGCTGATGTACGCCGCCGCCAACGGCAACGAGCGGATGGTCGAGCTGCTGCTGCGGCACGGGGCGAAGGTCAACCTGCAGAGCAGCGACGGCGTCACCGCGCTGATGAACGCCGCCCTGTCCGGCTATCCCGCCGTCGTGCGGCGCTTGCTGCGGGCGGGCGCAGACACGGCGGCGCGCGCTGAGGACGGCAAGACAGCGCTGCAGCTAGCCAAGCAGCTGGGCCACGCCGAGTGCGTCGAGGCGTTCCGGCAGCACGTCCAGGAGGTGCTGGCGGGACGGCCCACGGCGACGGCAGCCGGTGGCGAAGGCGCAGGCGGCGCTTCCCCCGGCGGCGCTTCCCCCGGCGGCGCTTCCTCGGCTGGATCGAGAGTCGCGGAGACGCTATCTCCAGCGGTGGCGGCGGGGCGGGCGTCGAGCGGTGTCTTGGCAGTCTCCGACGAGGTCGTGGCAGCAACGGAGCGTGGCGAGGAGAAGGCGGTGCTGGCGTGGCTCGAGGGCGGCGGGCGGGCCGACGCGACGTACGAGAGAGGCGGCGTGAGCGGCGTCACGCTGCTGATGGGCGCCGCCTTCAACGGCCACGAGCGGGTGGTCGAGCTGCTGCTGCAGCGTGGGGCTGACGTCAACTTGCAGGACAGCAACGGCCTCACCGCGCTGATGTTCGCCGCCGGCCAAGGCCACGAGAGGGTGGTCGACTTGCTGATACGGCGCGGCGCTGAGATCAACCTGCACAGCAGCGACGGCTTGACTGTGCTGATGGCTGCCGCCCAGGAAGGGCGCGAGCGGGTGGTCGACTTGCTGCTGCAG